TCTAATCCAGAATTACAATTTCTGGAAATTTATCTTAGAGATATATTCACATACCTGCAAAATAGCAAATGTGTATGGTCGTTCACCAGAGCATGGTTCCTAAAAGCAAAGGACTGAACCCAGAAGTCTGTTAACTGAAAACTGGTTAAAGCATATGGCAGAAGTATCAATGTTATCTCTGAATTTGAAAAAATAAACCATGACTGATAGGGAACGATCTCTACTCAGTGAAAAGAAAAGCAAGGCACAGAACCGTAGGTATAACATGAAACCATTGTCTAGAAAAGACAATACGCTTCTATTGCAAATACACTTGTACATGCATTTTAAAAAAGTCTTTGGAAGAACGATGATGAAACAAAACAATGGTGACTTAATTTGGGGATGGGGTGGAGGACCAGGCACAAAACTAGGGAGCGTTAGGAGGCTTTATTTTAAAACTTTTTGTTTTGAAGTAAAGATTCACAGGAAGTTACAAAGAAATGTACAGGGAGGTTCTGTGTACCCTTTACCCAGTCTCCCCCAATGACACCCTGCATAACTATAGTATACCGGGAAACTGATATTGGTACAATCTAGAGAGCTTATCTGACTTTTCCAGTTTTACATGCATTCATTTGTGTGTGTATGTGTGTGTGTGTGTGTGTGTGTGTGTGTGCGTGCGCACGCACATGCACGTGCATGCAGGTGTGCGGGTATGTAAGCAGTTCTATGCCGTTTTATCACATGTGTAGCTTTATGTAACCACTACTAAGAATCAAAACATATTAATTGTTCCATCACCACAGAGCTCCCTCATGTTACCCTTTTTTTTTTAAAGCCACCCCACTCCCTCTGCCTTTCCAATCCCTTAATCTCTGGCAGCTATTAATCTGCTTGCCATCTCTAAAATATTATTTCAAGAATATTATATAAGTAGAATCACACAGTGTCCTACTTTTTGTAGCTGGCCTCTTTCACCCAGCAACACGCTTCGGAGGTGCATCCGTGTTGTACATGAGAAGTCCACGGTGTGGCTGTACCACAGGTTAACCGTTCACATACTGTAGGACATTTTGGTTGTTTCTGGCTGTTTGCTATTATAAGTAAAGCTGCTACGAATATTTATTACAGGATTTTGAATAAAATAGGTTCATTGTTACCAAATGGAAATGCAATTAATTGTTTCTTACATGTTGATAGTGTATCCTGTGACACTGATAAACTCACTAATTAGTTCTAGGGGTTGTGAGGGTAGATTCCTTGGAATTTTCTACATAAACAATCATATCATCTACAAACACAGCCAGATTTTTTTCTTCCTTTCCAATCGATATGCCTTGTATTTCCTTCTCGTGCTTTACTGTGCTAACCAGAACCTCCAGTACTATGTTAAATAAGAGTGATGACAGCAAGTATCCTTGCCTTGTTCGCAACTTTAGGGTGAAAACATATAGTCTTTCACTATTAACTATGATGTCAGCTGTAGGTTTTTTGTAGATGCTCTTTCTCAAGTTGAGGAAGTTCTCGCTCTATTCTTTGATGAGAGTTTATCACAAATGGGTGTTGGATTTTGTTGAATTTTATGTGTTTATGATTTTTCTTCTTTAGACTTTTGATATGGATTACACTGATTGGTTTTTGATTATTGAACCAGCCTTGCATACCTGGAATAAATTCCACTTGGCTGTTGTGTATAATCATCTTAATATACTGCTGGGTGTGATTTGTTAGTACTTTGTTAAAAATTTTTGCATCTAAGTTCATGGGAGATATCAGTCTGTAGTTTGTGTGGTACTGTCTTTGCCTGATTTTGGTTATCAGGATAATACAGACATCATATAATGAGTTAGGAAGTGCTCCTTCCTCTTATACTTTCTGGCAAAGAATGTGTAAAATTGGTGTCAATTATTCTTTAAATGTATGGTAAAATTCTCCACTGAAACCATCAGAAGCTTTTTAATTAAAAATTCAATTTCCTGGGCATATACCCAGATGAAACTATAATTTGAAAAGATACATGCACCCCTATGTTCATAGCAGCACTATTTACAATAGCCAAGACATGGAAACAACCTATATGTCCATCAGCAGATGCCACGGATAAAGAAGATGTGGTGTGTATATATACAACAGAATATTACTCAGCCATAAAAAAGAATGAAATAATGCCATTTGCAGCAACATGGATGGACCTAGAGATAATCATACTAAGTGAAGTCAGTCATAAAGAGAATGACAAATATCATATGACATCACTTATATGTGAAATCTAAAATATGACCCAAATGAACATATCTACAAAATATAAACAGACTCACAAACACAGAGAACAGACTTGTGATGGCTAAAGGGGAGGGAAGGATTGGGAATTTGGGATTAGCAGATGCAAACTCATGTATCTGGGATGAATAAACAAGGCCCTACTGTATAGCACAGGGAACTATATTCAATATCCTATGATAAACCATAATGGAAAAGAATATTAAAAAAGAATATATGTATATATGTATAATGGAATCACTGCTGTACAGCAGAAATTAAAACAACATTGTAAATCAACTATACTTCAATAAAATAAAAAATTTCAGTTTCTTTAATAGCTCTTCAGGTTACCATCGTGGTTGAGTTATGGTAATTTGTGGGTTTTAAGGAATTGGTATATTTCTTCGAAGTTATTGAATTTGTGAGGATAAAGGTGCTCCTAGTATTCCCCTATTATGCTTCTAATGTCTGTAGTGATATCCCCTGTTCCTGTTATTGGTTGGTTGTGTCTCTTTTTCACCTTTGTCAGTTTTGTTAAAAGTTTATCAGTTGTGTTGGTTTTCTTTAAGAACCAGCTTTTGGTTTAATAAACTTTCTTTTCTGTTTTATTGTTTATAATTTCACTGATCTCTGCTTGTTTTGGATTTATTTCATTCTTTTTTTTTAGTTTCAGAGTGTTGATCTGAGACCTTTTCTCTTTTCTAATGTAAGTACTTAGTGCCACAAATTCCCCTCTCAGTACTGCTATAGCTGCATTCAACAAATTTTGACATGTTCCTTTTTCTTTTCCTTTGGCTGCGCCACAAGGCTTGTGGGATCATCCCCCAAACAGGGATGGAACCCCAGCCCCGGCAGTGATATCGCCGAGTCCTAACCACTCTACCACCAGGGAACTCCTGATATGTTCATTTTCATTCAGTTCATTGTATTTTTAAAATGTCCTCTGAAAACTTCCTCTCTGACCCATGGATTATTTAGAAGTATACTGTTTAATTTCTTAGTGACTGAAGATTTTCCTGTGGTCTTTCTATTATTGGTTTCTCATTTGTTCCATTATGGTCAGACAATATATTCTGCATGATTTCAATCGTTTAAATGTATTGAAGTTTGTTTTATGACCCAGGATCCATCTTGGTGCATGTTCCACAGGCACTTGAAAAGAATCTACAAACAATAAATGCCGGAGAGGGTGTGGGGAAGAGGGAACCCTCTTGCACTGTTGGTGGGAATGTAAATTGATAGAGCCACTATGGAGAACAGTATGGACGTTCATTAAAAAACTAAAAGTAGAATTACCGTATGACCCAGCAAGCCTACTACGGGGCATATACCCTGAAAAAAACATAATTCAAAAAGACACATGGGGCTTCACTGGTGGCGCAGTGGCTGAGAGTCTGCCTGCCGATGCAGGGCACACGGGTTCAAGCCCTGGTCCAGGAAGATCCCACAGGCCGCGGAGCAACTAAGCCCGTGTGTCACAACTACTGAGCCTGCGCCCTAGAGCCCACGTGCCACAACTACTGAAGCCCACGCGCCTAGAGCCAGTGCTCTACAACAAAAGAAGCTCACGCACCACAACAAAGAGTAGCCCCTGCTCGCCACAACTAGAGAAAAGCCTGTGCACAGCAACAAAGACCCAACGCAGCCAAAAAAAAAAAAAAAAAAAGACACATGTACCCAAATGTTCACTGCAGTTCTATTCACAACAGCCAGGACATGGAAGCATCCTAAATGTCCACTGACAGATGAATGGATAAAGAAGATGTGGTACATACATCACACACTATGGTACATATATACCACATCCGTATATGGCTGGAATATTACTCAGCCATAAAAAGGAATGAAATTGGGTCATTTGTAGAGATGTGGATGGACCTAGAGTCTGTCATACAGAGTGAAGTAAGTCAGAAAGAGAAAAACAAATATTGTGTATTAATGCATATATGTGGTATCTAGAAAAATGGTACAGATGAACATATTTGCTGGGCAGGAATAGAGAACGGGAGGGTGGGATGAACTGGGAGATTAGGATGGACATATATACACTACCATGTGTAAAATAGATAGCTAGTGGGAACCTGCTGTATAGCACAGGGAGCTCAGCTCGGTGCTCTGTGATGACCTGGATGGGTAGGAAGGGTGGTGTGGCGGAGGGGGGGGGGTTTGGGGTTGGGAGGGAGGTCCAAAAGGGAGGGGATATATGTATACATATAGCTGATTCACTTTGTTGTACAGCAGAAACTAACACAACATTGTAAAGCAATTATACTCTAATAAAAAAAAAAGAATATTCTGCTGTTGTTAGGTGGAATTTCTATAAATGTCAAGTGGATGCTGTTGTTTGATGTTACTGTTAAATTCTTCTTTACCTTTACTAATATTCTGTCCAGTAGTTCTATCAATTGCTTAGAGTGGGATGTAGAAGCCCCCAACTACAACTGTGGATTTGTCTATTTCTCCTTTCAGCTCTACCAGTTTTTGTTCATTGTATTTTGTGTGTGTGTGTGTGTGTGTGTGCTGCGTTGCGTCTTCGTTGCGGTGTGTGGGCTTCTCATTGCAGTGGCTTCTCTTGTTGTGGAGCATGGGCTCGAGGGTGCACGGGCTTCAGTAGTTGCAGCAGGCGGGCTCAGCTGTTGTGGCTCACAGACTCTAGAGCGCAGGCTCAGTACTTGTGGCGCACGGGCTTAGTTGCTCCATGGCATGTGGGATCTTCCGGGACCAGGGCTCGAACCCATGTCCCCTGAATTGGCAGGCAGATTCTTAACCACTGCGTCACCAGGGAAGCCCATAACTTCTATTTCTTTGCTGAGATTTTCTAGTTCCATTTGTTTCAAGAGAATTTGTAACTTCTTCTTGAAATAATTTTATGATGGATTTTAAAATCCTTTTTGTATATTAGCAGGTAATCACTATTTAAATTTAGTGTGCAGGTAGTTTCAATAACAATTTAGTTCCCAGGGCCCTTGTAGTGCAATACAGGCCTGCTGTGTTTTTCTGGTTCCATGAGGCTGTCACTCAATCCCTGCTGGTGTTGCCTGCAAGGGCTCAAGGCACTTCCCTGGGACAGATGGTTTCACTGGGTGGGGGATGAGTGATGCTGGACCCACGGAATGCAGACTTTCTCCTGGCCTGATTTCTGGCTGCCTGATGCTGGTGGACTTCCTGTTTTGAAGCCACTGGGAGCAGGAAGCACCTAACTGGCCTGATGATGGAGGAAAGAGTGTAGCAGGAAACCTACCTACCTTTCCTTCTGCTACTGGGTAGAAGGCTGGTGCCGCTGGTCACCTAGTGGGGACAGGGGATGAGCTTCCCTGCCACTGTGGGTGGATCAGGCCTGCAACTGCTGCCAGGTGTGAAGTGCACAACAGGTAGGCCCTGATGACCTCTGCTGACACTGTACCTGCGAGAAGATTGAGTCCACCACCACTGCTGGATATGGGGAGGGAAATAGGGCTTCCCCGTTCCTGGTCTTTGGTCAAAAGAGAGCAGGTTTTTCTTTCTTTCTTTTTGCCTTTTCTTTTTCTTTTATCTATGCTTGTTGGTGATTCCAGGTTGTAGACACCCTCCAGTGCCCAGACAAGGACACGTGGAAGATTAAAAAGAAAAGCCAAGGGAACTCACTGCACTGTCCTTCCTCAAGTCCTGAGCCCTACCCAGCCTGCCCTCTCCCTTCTACCTTTCAGATTCCTTTTCTGATTATCTGGTGCATTCTTTCCAGAGTATTTAGCTGTATTTAGAAGAGATGAACAGGAAAAAGTGAATCAATGTCACCTTCTCTTGGAAGGAGATTTTCTAATGTATAGCATTTTGTACTTTTTGATGCTTGAAACCATATGCATTTCTAGTTGAAAACGGAATTTTTTTAGTTTTAAAAATATAAAGAAAGAAAACCACCCCCACCATGCAAGGTATTGGTAACGCCTCTGTTATAGAGCAAGCTGAAAGAATATCTCACCAAATGTCTGACTTGTTGCCACTGGCCACTGGCATCAGACCACCATGAACATTTTTCAATAAGCACAGGATTTTTCAGCAAACAACATGAACACTTCATGAAGTCTCACTGCTTATGATATAAACATGCAACATCTCAACCTGCACAAGTTAAGTGTCACCCAGTGAAAAATGCATGACCGCCACATAAGCAGAAACCATAGTCTTCCTCCCAGATAGTGCTTCTCACCATGAGCCTCCTCCTTTGCTTCCGGGGTATATACCAGCCAACTGCTAGAGACCACCACCCAAATGTCCCTACATTTCCACAGAAGAATGTTCACAAAGAACACAAAACTGCTCCCTTCTGTTGCATCTTTCCATTATTTGTACTACTACTTGCTGGAAAACCCAGGCTCAAAATCACAGCATCATTTTTAACTCCCCCCCGCCGCCCCCCCCCTTCCACACCCAGTTTTCAAGTCCAGTTGATTTCGCTTCTGGTATACTTCCCCTATCACGTCCTCAGTAGTTCACCTTTTACTACTACATGTATCCAACTGTCATCATGGGATTTTTTTGCCTTCAATCCTCTGTCTTCCAGTTTATCTTTTCTACTGAGAACAGGTGAATCCTCTCAAAGCCAAATTTGGGCCACTTTATTTATTGTCATAGGCAGTCAGGACAGTTTTTTGAACATGGGAGTAAGGTTTAAACAACTCAGGGAACAACTAAGCTTGGGTTCCAAACAACTTTCTAGATTTGTTATCCCATTATTTCTTGCCACAGATGTACAGATGGCTTTGGCATATTTGCTCAACCCACATCCTTCTCCAGAGGAGCCCCAGATGAAGTGGGCAGCTCAAAATGGCCAAGACTGGTGAAGAAGGTTTTGGTACCTGGCACACAGGTGACTGGACCAAGCTGAGACAATAAGATATACTTACTCATTCTTTCCCTAAAAGAAAGAAAATATGAAAACTATAGCCAAGCAACCTTGGGTTCCTGAGATATAAAGTAGGGCACAGAACCCAAAACCATGGCAACCAATGTCCTGTACAGACCAGAGACACAAAGGAAGCAAAAAGTAAGAGACGGCAGAGAACAGTTTCCAGAAGGGAAGAGAATGGAACACATGTTCAGGGCAAAGCAGAGGTCCTAAGTGAGACACACAATGGCTGTAGCTGGGCTACACTTCCTGAAATAGGATTCCCTGAGATTGTCAACAAATAGCTTTTTATAAATTTGAGTTCCTATGACTGTGTTTCTGTTCTTTGAAACTAAATAATAATTAAGAGAAGCCCCACAAATACTCATCATTGTTCTTTTACCTAATGTGAGCTGTCTGAGCTTCATACCTTTGCCTGGAAGGCTTTCCCTCCACTTTGTTAGGCTTCCAAGGCCACCTCCTCCCAAAAGTTTTCATGATTCACAATCCTCTCATACAACCCCCACCCCCCGACCCCTGCCACCCCAACTAGATCACAAGTCGTTCGAGGATAAGGACAATATCCAGGGCCTAGGTAGTGGCATATGATAGGTATGGTGAACAATGAATCCTTATATAGCTTTATCTACATAGAGTTTAGCAGTCAGCATTCAAACATTTATTAGGTGAACAGATCAGTGAGGTTTGTCAGTCATCTGACATTTTTTTCCTACCAGCGTGAACTTCTCTTAGTGTGAACTAGGACAAACTTGTTCTGAAATAAACAAAAATCTTCACTCATTACCACCTAGAAGGTATACGGCACTGAACTGGGCACCTGGGGATCAAGCAAAAGATGAGACAATCCTATCCAGGAGGCCCTTACAGTTCTGCTACAGTTAGAAGGAAGCGACAGCATAGGACACCTGAGTCTTATCATCTTGGAGTCATAAGAAATCATGGAGGAAATATGACGCTTTTTTGCCCACCTCTATTTAAAAAAAAAAAACACGCCACACACCTGCCAGTCTTCAAGGGTCCTTTCCACTTACCCTTCCCCCTAGAAAATACCACTTCTAATATTAAGAAAAAAATGAGTAAAACATTTTTGTAAAAATGTACTGAGAGGTATAAATACTAGAGGAAATGGTTCCTAGGAAAAGAGGCTATTTTTATAACAAACAAAACACATATTGTAAATCTCCATTAACTAGCTTGTGAATCACGGTCCTTTGTGCACAAACTGGACTCAGAGGAAAACAAGCTTTTGTAAGACCACCAACAATAAGACCCGTGGAGAGCTGGGGGTGGGGAAGAGAAGAAAGGGCCAGGAAGAAAGACAAAGCGGCAGCCGCAAGGACCGCAACATTTAGCTGTTTATTAACCACAAGTCTCTCCACTGTCCACTTTCCCTTTCTTCCCCTTCTCCCCACAAATCCTCCTAACACACATATACAGAGAGAAAACTAGAAGCAAGACCGGGTCAAACATGAAGAACAGGAAAAGAATATTAAATAGCCAGCTTTAAAAGGCTCTTTTTCAGCTTGAACAAAAGCAAAACGTTCTCAAAAGCAAAACGGAAAACAGAGCTTGCATCCAGGCTGCGCTACTTAATGAGAGGAGGTTAGTGCTGATAAAGCCATTGTGAATCCACAGTGACAGATTTTCAAGCAACGAAATCAATCAGTTGTGATTGGATGATTTAGGGCTCGGGAATCATCTGGTTCAAACCAACAGGGAGCTGAGGGGTGGGAGGATGGGGGGAGGGGTGGGCAGGGTGACATGAGGTCAAGTAAGGGGCTCTATGTCTTACGCCTACCCCTCTCTGATGGGATTCAGACCACACCCTCAGTCCACACCATCTGTCACACCAACAGACGTGCAGGTTGACCCAGCTAGAGTCACTTTGTGCACTCTCTCGCATCACTCTCCCCAACCTTCCGATGCAAGGGAATTCAGCTTTCCCTGGGCAGTCATAGACTCCAAGCAGGAATGAGCCGCCTAACGCTCCTGCCGGTAATCTGCCACTTTGGTTCCTTCCTTGCCGTCTGCTTGTTCCCCATGGAGACAAAATTTAGAAACATACCATCACGTGGGGTCTCTTCACACAGGAACGATGGAGTGCTCTGGGTTGTGGTGACCTCAATTTCCTTCTTCCCTGCCAGAACTGTCTGTCCTGGCCGTTTCTCACCTCCTCGGCAGACTTGGAAGCATGAATCCGCTCTAGTTTCACTAGTATCTTCTTGTCCTTTTTCCTTGCTGCTTACTTCAGGAATCTGCTCCAGCTTACCATGGAGATAGAACCCAGCAGTGCCCAGTTCCCTCTTCCCAGAGCTGCTGCTGCTGCTGTTGTTGAAGTGGGTCAGTTCTTCTCTCCTCTTGGCCACTGGTTCCTCGCAGTTGAAAGGAGGTATCTCTTCAGTAGGCAGAATGGGCAGTTCTCCAGGGTTCAATTTGTGGCTGGCTGTCTGTTCCTCAGCCACCGTCATGGAGCGCCTAATGGCAGGAGCCCCCAGTTTTTTGGGTGTGGGACTCAGCATTGGGCTACTGGTGAGGAGTAGCAGGCCAGAAGAAAGCTCTTCTTGGGCGGGAAGTTCAGGATACTTATCTGCAAGGTTGACAGCTGGGGGGACTGAGAGATGAGAGCACTCAGACAGGGCCCGGCGCATTGCCTTTTTCTGCTGGGGGGCTTGGTCAAGCAAAGCCCCCTCCTCGGTAGAACTCAATTTCTCCAACTCCTTATCATGGTCTTTGATATGAGAGCTGGCATTCACATAGTCCGGGGTGAACTCGACCCTAGTGATTGGTGGAATGGCAGTGGGTGAGTGCGCAACAGTGGGGGCTGGGTGGGCTACAGCCACCGCTAGGGAGGACTCATATTCGAGCTGCCCAGAGCTATCACTCACCACCCCAATCACCCGGCAGCCAGCAGGGATGCCATTCTCCTTTCCTGGAGTTCCTTCCCTTGAGTGCTGAGGGTCTTGAGCCACTGACACGGGATGGAAGTTGGGGTTCCAAACACTGGTTTCCTGCTCCTTAACATACTGGGTGGGCATGTCAGCAGCCCCAGGGAAATGCAGATCTGGCTGGCTCTCTGTCTCCGGCACATTCTTCCCTGCCACCGTCCCCGGAACTATAGTGGCTTTGTTTTTGTCTGGCCCCTCTCTGGGTCCCAGATGTAACTCGGCCGTCTTCTGGTGCACTGAGTTCCCCTCCAAGGGATGGCAGCTGTCTGCAATCACATACCTGCTCGCAAGGTGACCCGAGGTGGCTTGATACTCCTTGTCCTGCGCTTCAATGCCGAGCTCTTTGTCTAGCTTCCCCTCAAAGAAGCAGAGCTTATTCTGCTCCAGGAAGCTGGCATTCTTCACAAGCCCGTCTTTCAGCTGCCCGTCCATGCTGACATTCAGCCCGATCTCATTCAGCTTGCCCTCTGTCCTCTGCCACTCAAACCCAGCTTGGCTCATTTCTTTTGTGGAATCCACCCAGCACTGTGCAGGCTGGCCCTGACAGAGCTGGCCGGGAGTGGCAGTGCGTGAGGCTGGCTGCCTGTGTGAGAGCGACATCGCCTCTTCCACGGCTCTCCCCGCTGCTCCTGGAGCTCTAACACCACCTATGATCACAGAGCTGGCAGTGACATCACACCAGCATTCATGACTAAACCTGTCTTTCGCCCAACACTCCTCTCTCCTCAAGCAGTTGGATGATAAATGTATTTATTAGTGTGAAAGGAACGAAGGAAGAAGGAAGGAATGAATGAAAAAGAAAGAGAAAGCAAGGAACCTGCTCCTTTCTGCACAATCGAATGCCACTGTTAAACTGAAAATGTAATTTCCTGTTAACTGGCACTCTGTTTAGATCTGCAATTTAAAACACGGGATGGTGCTAATCTGGGTACTGAGGATAGTAATGATGCCGGCTTTCACCAGTATAGACACGTGTGTACCCACACACTCGCTTATGTGACACTATGCCCACACTTCCACTGTCACCTACTCAAAAAACTGTTTTAAAAATAAGACTGATTTGCCAATCCTAAGCCATAACCCTTAAAGAACAAAGACTCCAAAAATCTGCTCAAAATTTCACTTAAAACAAAGAACCTTAATGTAATATCAAAATTGGAGGCATTCATTTCTCAGAGGAAGAGTAGTTTTGTTGTCATAACAACTTATCAAATTAACTTGAAAACTGACTTGCGTGAGTCCCCAAAGCCCAGTGAGAGCTCCATCTTGTAGCTCTGCATTGTGCAAGAGTCTAATAAGTGGTTCATTTAAAGGTTTCAGTGATCAGCACTTTGGGGACATGTAACCAAGTTGTAAGACACTTGTGTGACAATACATCCTCGCATTTTTACTCCTGCCCCGATCCCTCTTAGTTTCTTGGACAAGATGTGTCTCTCCCTCCTACACCAGCCCTGCCTGCTCTTTCCAGCCTGCTGATGACTTAGTTGCCACGGGAACACACTGCAGCAGTTCATCTTCCTCCGACCTCTAGGACTTAGGGACCTTGGCTATCTGTGGCTTGGGGTTTTAGCCGCCCACCAGAGCCCACTGCCCCCATTTAACTCAGCATAGTCCTTTGCTGCCCTGAGCTTTGAGTTTACAAACAGTACTTTCAGGATTGAGGTACCCACAAGAGAAAATTCTTGAAAAAAAAGTTACACTGAAAGGATAGGAAAAACTCTGCCTTGAACAAAGCTGATTTTTGTTGCCTAGCCTGTAAGTCGCTAATTGAAGTAACATAGGATATTGTGAAAGTCTATCAAGAATACAAGAGAAGGGCTTCCCTGGTGGCGCAGTGGTTGAGAGTCCACCTGCCGATGCAGGGGACACGGGTTCGTGCCCCGGTCCGGGAAGATCCCACATGCCGCGGAGCGGCTGGGCCCGTGAGCCATGGCCGCTGGGCCTGCGTGTCCAGAGCCTGTGCTCCGCAACAGGAGAGGCCACAACAGCGAGAGGCCCACATACCGCAAAAAAAAAAAAAAAAAAGAATACAAGAGATGGGTTTCCCTGGTGTCACAGTGGTTAAGAATCCGCCTGCCAATGCAGGGGACACAGGTTCGAGCCCTGGTCCAGGAAGATCCCACATGCCGCGGAGCAACTAAGCCCATGCACCACAATTACTGAGCCCGCGAGCCACAACTACTGAAGCCCACGTGCCTAGAGCCCGGCTCCGCAACAAGAGAAGCCACCAGAATTAGAAGCCCGCGCACCTTGCCTCAACTAGAGAAAGTCCGCGTGTAGCAATGAAGACCCAATGCAGCCAAAAAAAAAGTGAAGAGATTACCAAGGCCCAGCCCAAGAAAGCTTCCTTAACTGGAGCCTCTGTCCCCATTACTCAACTTCTCTACTTGCTATTCATACCCTGCACATAATATTCTCAATTCCCAACTAGAGCGCAAGAACCAACCCTAATATGTTTCCTGCGTTAGCATCAGTACCTAACACAGAGCTATGTTCATGGTCAGGAGTGGCAATGTTGCAAAGCTGGAAAAAATGTGAACTTAACCTCTGTCCTGAACATTAACTGAACTCATATATACCTCTCCTTCCCCTTGACCTTAAGTAGCTTAGCAGCAATACATGCGAAAGCACAATAAAGGTTCATTAGCAAGAAACTAGGGTCACCTTACTCTTCAGCAAAGCTCTCACCAAGGAAGAGCAAGGAAGGATGTATAATAAAATGAAAAATGAAGGTGGTGCCAGGAGGGTCATGATTCTAATTAGTAATGGGAAAAAATAAGAGATGAGTCTTGGGTATATAAAGGCTTGGTGATAAAACATGGTCAAATTCTGGCTTTCAAAGAATGACGAAGGTGTGTCTTTATTCCTTAGCAATTGTCTGCTACTATTTTCCATTCTCAAGTGGACTTACATTTACGTTGGTGTCCTGTTACAGTGCTCAGCACTGTGAGTATCCCTTCACTGCTGCTTCTGAGCGGGCAAGCTGCTTCACTAAGAAAACATGGAGATCCAGAGGCTTTTACAGAGGGGAGGGGACAGAGTGGCTTATAGTTTGATTACACTATTGCTTTGCAACACGTACCAAGGAAGAGATCACACGGAACAAAAATTAATGTGTTTATTTCTCCCCAATGAGGTGACTGCTACCTGGATGACAAACAATGAGAAAAATCTAGTACAGAATAATTAGTAAAATCTGAGGATGACCCTGTCAGTGCCCTAGTCCAATTCAGAATTACAAACACAATCTCACTCAGGAATGCACATTCACCCACGGGAGAGAGTTGCATCAAGGAACTCAACCCCCCCACCCCGCCCCCATCACTGTGATATTTTATCAAGTTGGCAGATGAGGAACTTACATGAAGTCTTAGAAAGTTGAGTGTGCCCAGGTAAAAAGAAATGTACTTAAGAACCTGAAGACTTAAATTCTAGACTCAGTTGCCACTAGAATTCCTTGCCTCTGGGTTCTGCTTCTACTTATTCAGAACTCACAGAAATGTCACCTCCTCTGTAAAGTCTCCTAGACCCCTAACTCCTAAACTGAATCCTTAATGTTTACACAGAACTATACTTGTTCTACTTCTTCTTAGGATTTGGAAACTACACCATAATCTTCTCTGTATGTGCCTTTCCTGGAAGCTTCTAGAAGGCAGGAATAAGACCTGTCCACCTCTGCTATGCAGGTGCCCAGCACAGTGCTTGATACAGTGCTTAAGTAGGCTCTCAAAAAAGTTCTGCTCAAGGAGGAATGGACGGATTCCTTTCACGGACTTCTATCATTTGACCTGATCTCTCCCATCGTTAAACTCATGTAGACAGGTGCTGATTTCAAATGTCCTTTGGGCTGAAGGTTTTTAAGTTCCATTCCGTCTGAGTCTGAGGAAAGTGCATGGACTCCCATGTGTCTGGTCAGAAGGCGACCTCTCTTTTATCAGACTGTATAACAACTTGTCAAGCTTCCAAGGGCTCTGGCACAGCTTGCAGGTCTCTGATCTCAGCAGATGCACTGGCAGATGTTTCTGGTTTTGCCTTGTGCCTTGAGCTAGTACTCAACCTGTTCAGGGCCTTGGTTTTGATAAGCTCCACAACTGGTTTCTCTGCATTCTTTCAGTTACCAAGGCAACAAAGCTACTTTCCAGATTGACCAAATGTTCCCTGTTACTGTCTCCAGGAAACAATTTCTAATAAATTATCATTACAATGAAAGTCGATACGTCTACTGATTACAATGATGGATGACACTCTACTAATAAAAGCTGAAGACTGTGAAGCTGCAATCTAGTTTCTTACCTGGAAGAAAATGATGTTTGTTTATATATAAATATACATGTATGCAAAAACATTTCAAAACCATATTCTACTAAATCTTAGAAAAATTTCTTAGTACATGTTTAACTCAAGAAAATCGTGATTCTTCCTGATTAACTTTCAAAAGTTGGGAGGCAGACAGAATGAAAAAACTGAAGCTAGTAATCTGACTTATGTGACCCTTGATAAAGGTAATTCATTTACCAGGACCACAAAATGGAGGCCGCCCCCGTGGCTTGGCCCACAAATCTAAATCGAAGTCAGCCTGCACTTCACTGTCAAGGAAAGCACCTCACTGTCAAAGAAACCTAAAACACACCAACAGTCCTTCGAATCAGCTTCAGCTAGCTCACCTTGCCCTAGAAAATTGGACCTGTTAGCCTTATAAGGAAACCCCAGACCTCCTAGCCAGTCATGCCCTATTTCCCCCAGTTGCCGCTTATAACGCTCTATAAAACTCGCTCTTGCCCAGAATCCCTCGGTAAGAGCGGTCCACTGTTGTCCGCTGTACTCCCCTAATCCATGGATTGTTCTCCCTTAAGTAAAGGACATCACACTCATTACTAAATTGCATTATTTTTGTCATTTAACAGGCAAAAGCATTAAAATGCTTACAGATGAAAAGTCCCCCAAGAAGTACAACTTGGAAATTCCAGGCCTTTTGAGTACTGAGCCTAGCATAGCCTCCCTGAAAAAGATAAGAGATTCATGCAAGGAAACTAGGTAAAAGCCCAACTCCCTCCACCAATTACCTCCAGTGTAAAGTTTAAGATCCTCTGCTCATGGAGGTACACACGACTCTCAGGACCCTTGAAGAGCTTACCTTCTTTTCTCCCCAATCTTGTCTCAGAATGTTTCTCCCTGCTGCCCACATGATGTATATACCAGTCACACCCAAATGTTTGCTAGTCCTCAAATATTCCATGCACTTGCACTTCACTATGCCTCTGTGCAGTCTATCCCCTAGAATGCCTTACCCTGCTTATCAGCTCTTCAAACTTCCAGACCCATCAAATGTCACCTCCTCCAGTAAGCTTTCTTTTGCTCTCCTAAGAGGACTTACTTTCTGCTCTGTATTCCCATGGCATATAGCTCATCCTTCTATTACAGAACTTCTCTCACTAGAGTAAAATTATCTGTTTATGTGTTTATCTCCCCACTTTGGAATCCTTGAGGAGTAAAAGCTGTGGCTTCTTGATCTACCCTTAGAATGTGGGAATAATTTTACCTGGCGTTTGCTGAATGAATGAATGAACTAAATACTAAAAAATCCAAATCATGTTGAGTGTTCACTATCAGCAGAGCAATAGAAAACGTTTATATGACAATCAGCTTTTTGCCTAAACTTATACAAATTACATCGTTGCTGAACAGTTTAAAAACTAGCAATTTCAATCTGCTCACAGCTGAGATGACCTACGCAATGTCACAGGTAAAAATACGCATGGACGTCCCCTCTACTGTCCACTTCATATTTCAAAGGAGTAAAAATTTCTGCAACACCAAAAGTAAGAAGCAAGTTGCATTTGCTTTCTTAATCTTCCAGTGCTGTCAGCCAGAGGATAAAAGTGAGGGAGCGTGAGGGGAAGAAATTCCTTTTAAAGTAGAACAACCAATAATTGCTGGACTTGTTTCACAGAACATTTAGATGCTCTGGCTCAAATAAGGTGAACAGTAGCACAGAACTGTTTGAGGGTTAAGAGTTTAAGAGAGTGCTGAGCGTATAGTAAGTTTCAATAAACAATAACTGTTTTTAGTTACTGAACATATAGACTCTCCCAATAAATTTCATTAATATACAGCTAGTAAGAAGAAAACAAGCCAGAGAATGAGAGGGTAAGTGGGAAGAAAGCAATTAGGAAACTTCACAAATGGCACTACATTTAAGATGTGGCGCAGTGGGTAAGAATCCGCCTACCAATGCAGGGGACACGGGTTTGAGCCCTGGTCCGGGAAGATCCCACATGCCGCGGAACAACTAAGCCCAAGCACCGTAACTACGGAGCCTGCGCTCTACAGCCCACGCGACTAGAGCCCGAGCTCCACAACAAGAGAAGCCACCGCAATGAGAAGCCCACGCACCGCAACGAAGAGTAGCCCCTGCTTGCCCCAACTAGAAAAAGCCCGTGCGTAGCAATGAAGACCCAACGCAGCCAAAAATAAATAAATAAAATTTTTAAAAAAAGATATTACCAAATGGGCACTTCTCCAGTTGTAAGACTGTAGTGAGCTCTAAGATTACAAATGATTTTTTCATCTGCTGAGCATATTTTATTTATGTACAAGGGCCTTGAAACTGTTAGGATTTGAGGTTTATAAATTACTCCAAGTTTCACACCAAAAGAATTTCCCACCATAAACTGATATTCCCAGCTGTTGGAAGACTGTTGATGGGCTCAAGAAAACTGAAGAAAAAGAAATGAAGCCAGATAAAGGGAGAAATGGCTCTCACTATGGCAAAGGGAAGGGCCTATTTATGGAGACCCATGATAACTGTCCCTCTCACAGAACAACATGCCAAGTGCACTGCCACTCACAGCTCTCCTTGGCTTCCTTCCAGGGGAGCGACTACTATGGAGCCATCGCATATACCAGAGTCCAGTAAGGATCGCCCTTTCAACCTTGCTCTTCCCTGCACAAAATACACGGTCCCAAAAGAAGTCCTTTTCGGACAAGTTGAGCTCAGATTTCCTGAAGTATCTCAATGTTCCTTACTTAGAACAATATGCATAATATGTGAAGAAACCTTCTGCTAAAGTTTCCCTAAACTTTAGGCATGAAAAAATAACAGGAGAGGAACCATTAAGCTGAAAGAGACTTCAGCAGTATATTCACTTTCCCTACTTCCAAAGAAGATAAGCGTAGCAAAAGGTAACTCAATTATAATTTTAAAACTGTCATTAGACATCATATACAGTAAAGCTCTAAGCTGGGTGGTAGGGAGAACACAGGAATAAATCAAACACAGTCTCTGCCTAGAGAATAAAATGCTAGACAGACTTAAAAGACCTAGATTCTAATCCTAAATTAGCCTCTGATTAGTTTATGTCCTCATGATGTGTCTCCATTTTCCAACTAGAAAAGTGCTTAGTTATAGAGCTTGGATATTAAAATTTTAAAAATATAATTATTAATCATTGACCTTCATCTTTTCCTTTTTAAGAACCTAAAACTTCTGGAAGGTTCCTCTGAGGCAAGAATGAGGAAAGCATGGGCCTTAGAGTCAGAACGACTTGGGTTTAAATTCTATTTCTGCCACTTCACTATCAGTGTGACTTTAATATGGAGAGCCTCCATTTCCTCACGTGTAAAATGGAGAGAATCCTTCAAAGTTCTGTTGTGTGTGTGTGTGTGTGTGTGTGTGTGTGTACACGACTATCCACCTACCTATCTACAGACAACTAGACACTTAGTATTCACTCAATAGGTGGCAGATGCTATTATTTTTATGGACACCACTAATAATATCTTTACTGTCCGAACACTGAAAACCATGGGTAACACCATCCGACCACAGGAGAGTTAACATGAATGATTCGAAGTGAGGAACAAAAATAAAATTTACCAAGGCCAGGTCTATTACCAGGCATGCATGAAACATCAGAGCCCATATGAACCCATAAGGGGTTACCCTGCCTAGTTCCCTATCACAAATCCAGGCACTCCCCATTCCACTCAGTCCCCTGCCTCAGAGCCCAGGCTTGCCTAAAGCTCTGCATCTGCACATTCACCTGCTTTCTGAACATCTCTGAATAAGCATTATTAGAAACATACAAGATCTTGGGAATTCCCTGGCAGTCCAGTGGTTAGGACTCCACACTTTCACTGCTGAGGGCGGGGGTTCAATCCCTAGTCAGGCAACTAAGACCCCACAAGCCGTGAGGCCAAAGAAAAGAGAAGAAATATACAAGATCTGCACAAAGAAAGCACCAGTGAGGGACTAAGACACGTAAACCTGAACATGTGATGTTACTGAATATGGCATGTATTACATGTTGGACAGAAAAACTCAACATATGCAACAACTCTCCCTAGGGTAATCTATATTTAACGTGATTTCAAGAACAAGACTGACTGGATTTCCCCCCCCACAAACCTATGAGCCAACTGTCAAGTATATATGAAATAATAAACAAGCAAGAATAGTCAGGAAGACTCTGAAAGATAGGGTGACATGTGGGGCTAGACCTATTAGATATTAAAATATATTATTAAGCCACATTGTGTTACTTAGAGCATGACAAAGGTGGCATTTCAGAGGGAGACAGAATATACAAATGTAGTGAGACAACCAAGTAATCATATCGCATATTTCATAAACGAAATACACACACACACACACACACACACACACACACACACACACACACACAGAAACAAATAAGCAAATTCTAGACTGATCAAAGATTAAAAATGTGAAAAATTTAAAATATTTTTATGAACTCAGAGCAGGGATGGCTTTTATAAACTGGATAATAAAGGAAGTCATTTAAGAAGTAAAACACAAAATACATTTATACCAAGTAATAATTTTTTACCTATTAGACTGGCACACCTCAACAAAGAAGAAAAACCACACTAGTAGGAGAAAGTACAGGGGAACAGGTACTGGTCTATGCTCAGGGTGGGAGTATAGTTCTGGTGCAGCTCTGTGCCCCTATGAGGAACAATTTGGCAACAACTATCAAAAAGATAAACATATATTCTTCAAATCAGAGGTTCTAACCCAGAGCCCCTTTTTATTATACAGATGTATTTGTATAAGTATGTATGTACGTAAGTATGACATTCTGTATATACAAGATTAGTTTACGCACCTTGTTTCTAATAGAAAAAAAAAAGGAAAACATCTGAACATCCATCAATAAAGAAGTGGTAAAATACATTAGGGTATCTCCATACAGTGAAATACTATACAGCTATTTAAAAAGACTGAGGCCCCTTTCTTTGTACTGATTTGTAAAGAGCTCTAAAATAACTAGGTTTACAAATCAAGGTACACATCGGTATGCATGATATGTCTCACTTTTATAAAATCAGGAAATATATATATCATTGATTCTTTATGCGTAAATTGTCTGAAAGGAAGTGTAAGACATTGTTAACACTGGTTGCTGGAGAGGGAAACGTGGATGGGGGTTAACAGAGGGAGGCAGACTTACATTTTACTGCATATCCCGTTCTACCATGTGAATGTATTAACCTATTCAAAAGTTAATTTTTGAAAATTATAATTTTACCTACCAAAATAAAAAAAGTATAGATTGTTCTTAGGGAAGGGGTGTGATAGAATTTAGAGAAGATATTTTGTCCAACATACATCACTCCCTCCTCAGCCACTCTACAAGGCTACTCCTAACACATGTCGCTGAGGGTGGCCTGGTCAAGGTAGGAGCCCAAAAGTTCTACAGCACCTGGCTTGCCTCCTCAAGAATCACAATAAATCCTCTTCCTACATTTTTCAGTAATACTGAGCTAAAAGAGATGCCTAAGTTTCAGAAAACTTACATGTTATCCTTTAATTACCACTGAAACCAAAGAACTGGTCTAGAACCTGAAACTAATGAACTGGAGAGAGGGCTGGGAATCTTAATGAAAGCTGGAAAGCACTTTACATACAATATCATTTTCTGCCTTGGCAACAGGGTAGCTAATGGAAGATAAAAACGGAAAAGATCAGAATGTTTTATGCAAATAATAGCTTCTAGCATTCTCTACTCACACGACACACGTTCCTTACCGGGTACATATTCATGCATAGCACAAGCTTTACCCAAAACAAGTCCATACCATGCAGAACACCATCTCATGATGAAGCCTCTCCAAAAGCCTAACTGGCTACACCAAGGCCAACCAGTGTTTTTTCATTTCTGGAGTTAGTAGCTGCATCATGCAAGCTGGGAAACAGTGATTAAGTAATAGCATCATTTGTAGGCTGTGAACAGCCTCAAAGGCCATGATTAGATGTATACTTTTCAGGGGAAAAAAAACCCTTAACATTTCTAAATCTTAAAGGAATCATCATCTTCTCAGTCTCCTCTCAATTACTTCACTGATTAGAGGCAAAAAGGGCAAAATTATGAGGAATCCTATATGGGCAAGTTTTACAGACTTGCCCATGGATATGGACTATGTTTCATGGACATAGGCTATGTCCAAACTCTAACCCCTGTGAAACTGTGGGCCAATGGCTGTAAGCAACAAACTGCTAAAAGATAGAGCTGCATCACTGAGAGATCATTTCCCACTTCTAGAAACACAAATAAAGTCTGTGCTTACCAATCTGGGTGGAGGCTACCATAAGGGGTTCATTTTCATTCAATCCAAAAGCAATTTGGATATTTAGTCCCACCAGCACAAGTTACATATGTATACTGGAAAAAAAAAATCCCACACACACAGCTGGACATGAAATGTTTTCTTTCCTCTTGTGAATCCTTATACAAAATAATGATATGATTAAAATTTGGCTGTAAACTTTACACATAGGAGGCACACTTTTTTTTTTTTAAATTTAAGAATATCATGGATGGTGATAGACTTTCTGCTAAACAATTTATTGTTTGAAATTCAACTTCCCCTGAAAGTCAAGGTTCAGTGCTGGGTAAAAAGGCATGCAACCAAGTCACCAGCCTCCCAAGCTGGACACAAGGCATGCCTTCGCTGCAGAAAACACATAATTAGCAGTTACAGGTCTTCATGCCAACAAACCAATGGTTAACAAGAATGATTAGAGTCTGGATGGAACCAAAGCACAAGCTCTTTGCCTTTCTGATGCTGACCAAAAGCCACAAGCACACACATTTCCCCACGGCAGGTTCATACCACTGGACTTGAGTTGCTTGGATCGCTCTCGTTCCTGGACTGTAGATTTTGGTAAAAGTGGAGTGAGTCCTCGGGACTTGGTGGGTCTCATGTAGCCTTTCATGGGTTCTGCCGCTCTGCTTTTATCTTCCTTCTTCCCT